CGCTCCTGCGCCTCCGCCACCGCCGCCGGCCCAGGATCTCGTTCAGCCCGACAGACCCATCGGATATGGTGCCTTTGGCGTTGTCTGGTGAGTCGATTATATCTATAACTATTTGCTTCTTTTTTTTTCTTACCTCGTGCTTCTTTTATTTATCTCCATGTTTTTTTTCGCGACGTCCGGACGTTGTTGTATAAAAACGATCGTCATATAAAAGAAAATGATGTTCTGGGTGGGACGTAGATGGCACTCGTATTACTTTTAAAAGTTGTTGTTTTAAGCATTGTAAAACTTTCTACCTACAAATAGGTACTACTGTTTAGTTAGAAGTAGAAATACGAAAAGATACACGAAATGGTACGCAAGCTTCCGTTGTACGAACTACGGTCGCACGAAGTTTTAGTTGCATGAACGCGTTCTCGTAATGAACGTACATATACAGATATTTGCGTCTGTTCAGGGGAAGAACTCGATAAGTCACTCTTTCTATTTTGTACAGAGGATTAAGGATTACCAAAATTGTCTATATACATTTGGCTTTGGAGGTAAACGCGTGGCTATCTCAAAATTTCGTCCAATCATCGACTATTTTTAGGATGAACATTTAGTTTTTTTGTATCGCATCGCATTAAAATTCTCCTGTTTGTTCATAAAGAGACATTAGAATCGGTAAACAAAAAAGGAATGTACTTATCGTGTTTTTCTGCTGTGATCTTTACACGTATGGAACGCGATATGGAAACAACGTAAACAAGATGTACCGACATGCTCGATTTTAATTTTCCGAACTTGGAAATCATTCGGTTACAGCAACTGTTTTATGCTGCATTATATTCGCGAAATAATCTTCCGGTGTATCAAGTTCGTCGGTCGACAGTTAAATATTCGAGTAATTTTGTATTCCATTTTACTGTGCGCCCACGGGCTCGACGTTAAAACAGGAGGAAAAAAATATTAATTCGAATTGAAAATTCTGTCAGCAAATTTCACTGCGCGGCAATTCGCGTGCAGCATGTCGAAGCAATATGTAATTAACGTGGAAGTTTGGAGTGCGCGCGCGGCCGCGCTTTCGAGCTCGACAAATTTTCTAAACATTTTAATCCCGGGAAACGGAACGTTCGACTAATTAGCGCCACTTTCCACGTTCGCTACGCGTCGAACGAGAGCTCTCCGACGATCGCTAGAGAGTAAACGCACTTTCCTTCTTAGCGTGTGTATAAATCGTTGCCTCTTTTCAACCCTGTATAATTTGCGAGTTCGATAAACAGCTGTTACTATGTTTTTCCCCGTCCCTTTCGTGTCTCTATAGTTCAGAAATTGAGTATGACTAGTTGTTAAAATGGCGTTTCCACATTTCCACATATTCAACGTTGAAAGTTTCTTTCGTTTATAGAAACACGTATGATACGAACGAGAAGTCTATACATGTATAATGTACACTTCGTTTTTATTGTAGTGTAAAATGATACAGAAGTACGATTATTTTGCTTTTGGTAAAATAAAAAAGCCGGCTTTTCTCGTGATATTACACGTCGAAAGTAATTACATATATACGAGATCTCATTAAGATAACTTGTACTTTTTTGGATAGAAAACAGATATGAGAAAAAGATTTTATTTGCGGTTTAAATTGACGTGAAATTATCTCAAACATGGAAAAGATATTTACATAAGCGCATTTCTTTTTCTATATTAAAACTTGATTCTCAACGATTTTTTGTAATTTTTGCAGCATTATTCTCGTTTAGGAACGATAGTAGCTCTTTTTTTGCTTAACTTTACTGTTTATCTAAGTGAATTACCACGGTATAGTGTATTGGCAATTTAGAGACGTGTATCGTAAATTACGTTCGTAGATTACGAAAATGTAGTAAAGAAAAAGCGTGCATGTTTCGAGAAGCTAACAATTTAAAATTATGTACACGACAATTTCTTGCAAACATGCCACGAATAGAACGACGCATTGTCGTCGTTCAACTTCGTTCGTTTGATTTATCTCCCTTTAAACTTTAAGCGACACGTGGCGCCCCATTAAATTTTATTTCTGGACACGTCTATCGGTCGTATCGCGTTCTCCGAAGCTTCTTCGCGTTTCCGTGGGTCGTGCTCGGGCATTCGGAACGGTATCGATAATCCTGCAATTCGATAATCGACAAATTGCCAGCGGAACTCGATTTCGGGAAATTTTTACAGCGCCCACACGCGTAGAATTATGGACACTCGTTCCGGCTCATTTATTCCTGACCGGTTACCGATACTAGGAAAAATTCATTTCCTATCGATCGGAATTACAGACATTTTGGATTTTTATTCGGTTCAACGGCGTTCATATTTCAGAAAGTATATACAGTGTGATCAAGTAATTATGGTGTAATTGGCAAGGGAGCGACTTTACAGGAAAAAGTGAATCGAAGACGTAGAATAAAATGTTCTAGTAAGACTGACCAGGCTAATTCTCAACCAAACACGTTCAAAGTGCATTTTCTTGAAAACGAGGCCATAAATGAGAAAATTGTATTTCACGTTTTTCGTTTACTATAGCACGTAGAATATCCGTCTGTTGATCGCTCGCTCGTATTTAGTCGATAATTAGCCAACTTCGCATATGCTAAACAAGTTTTCGAATTCGATTTGTATTGATTTGTTTTTTCACGTGGAATTACCACCTTGTCAGTTATGCCACGATTTTTGACGTACCCTGTATACGTATGCGTACGTGTGAATCCGATAAAACGTACACTTTCCGTGGCAAATGTCTGAGAACATAATATAAATGGCGAGTTATCCGTTCAACAGATATAATAAACTACTAGATCGAGTGTTAATTTATCTTACGGTACGAGGCGCCACTTGGACTTATTTTCTTTTAATTGGCTCGCGGTCAGCGTGCGTTTGGGTAAACGCGTGTTTCAGCGCGGTTAATTCTCCGGCAAATAATGGCAGCACTGGGTCTCTGTTTACGCGACAAGAGTTTGCTTTCCACTGTCAAGGGTATTCACTGGTAACACAGTGCTCCGAACGTTTTAATGGACACGTAATTATCGGCTGATTTCGATTTTTCTTACCAACCGTTAAAATTACGCGATCGTGCTCTGTCGTCGCTGCAACTAGCTCCTTGAGCGAGTTTAAATTCAATTGCCATTTGCTTGCACACAGTTTGCACGTCGCTCGCCTTGAATTGTAAATGATTGTATCTCTAAATAAGCGAACTTGGAATCCGCGTATGTTTCTCAGAAAAAGTTTTTCGTTCATGGTGTATTTCGTAAGGAAGGATTTCATACAATGGATGATAATACCGGCAGTTTTTTTATTTATAAAGATACTCGAAAAATTTATCTACGTGCGATAGCTCGCGAAAATATTTGCACCATACCATAGGAAATTTTTACCACTACACGTGTATTATGCAAACTTATTGAAATTTTATAAAACGGAACGAGACATGATCTATTATCGCGATTAATCCACGAAGAATTAATCGGCATGAATAAGTAGTCTTAGACGTAAATCTTTACCAACACGTTTGCCACTTATCATAGGTGGTAATGGTTGATGCGCAAACAATTATAATCAACGATAAAGATGGTTTAAATATTGCGATGTACTAACATAACGAATATTTGGTTGTTCGAACACTTTGCCGAACTTTGCGAAGCGTGTGCTTGCGATAGATATTCTGTAGCTTCTACGTACAATCTCAGTTTTCTTCCAAATTTGACCAATATAATCGTGACAATCGTGATTCGTTTCAGCGCCAATGAAATTTCAAAATATTTTTTAAAACACAGGTGAAATATATTCACGAAGAGTTTCTACAATTTTCGTCTTCTTTACTCTACATATATACAAGACATTAATTTGAATGAAATTGAGCTCGAGAAAAAAGTTTGAAAATACAGAGGATGGTCGGTAACAACGCGTCGCGTGGCGCTTGATTTCTTTGTTTACCGATAAGAGGCGAGCAAACAGGAAACGCGCCGGCTATTCGAGGGTTCGCGTGTCTCGCGTGCAAATGTTGCACGCCGCGGCGTAAATCTCCGATTTTCAATGGCGAGTGCAATACATAACGAGAACCGGCTGATGAAATGGAGAGAGACAGAGAGAGAGAGAGAGAGAGAGAGAGAGAGAGTACCGCGAGAGAAATTACGAGTTCGCTGGAATGTCCAATAAATTACTGATGAACGTAAACAAAATAAAGTTAACTAGTGTCGTAAGATAAAGCGCAGGATTACCATGGGGAGAAATATATCGTCGACAGTCGGACGTGTCATCGTTTCATTTACATACGAGGATTTAAAGCGACGCAGAGGCTCGCCAGAGATCGTTCCGGTCTTTCGTTGCGTTTATGTTAGGAATTGTTCTAGAAAATTCCCTAGACCCGAGAGTTCGTTTTGAAAGCATCTAGGAAATATTTTCCGTGTCGCCTTTTGTCAACCAGGGAAATGAACAAGAGGGATTAGGTATGATGGAATTTTTCTTTTGTTTTCTCCGTTATAGGTTTACCTGGTTAGCGATGAATCATCGAGGTTCCTAGCGAGGATTTTGGTCGAACGTAAGAACGAAAAAGAAACTGAGTGTGATTTAAGAACCACGCAATAATTTCGTCGTGACCTGCGGTCGGTATAATTACCGTTAGCTTGCCTGAACCGGATGCCCGATGGATTTTGTTGCTGTATTTGGTTTATTGTCGTTTCTGGATAACCGTTTGGCGTTGTAAAGTCTGCTGGGTACTTTGTGTTTCACGGCCGTTATTTACAAGCTCACGTATTGATGTAGCGTGTTCTTAATATCTGTGTCAGTGGAATAACTGTTTCATTGGGATAATGAGTCGGTTTAAACGAATGTCGTAAATACGTAAATATGTCGTCGCTACGAATTGCCATAATACCTGGGCGATAAACCCGAACATCTACTTGGACGAAGAACCAGGTCAAATTTCTGTTGTAGGTTTACATATAACGATAAACATTTGTATCGTTTTTCGTCAAACTACGATGGAAGTTACGTTTGTACATATTGGTATTTATTTTATGGATTTACGAAGCTACGTTCTAATCTAGATCGAACGTTATTTTTTAATAAATCCAGTT